CGACTGGGGGTGTCACATCCTCGACCAGTTCAAACATATAATGATGCTTTATAAAAATTCAGTATAAATGTCATAGGAAAATAATATGAGAGAGACTATCTCAAGGAAGCATAACTGTTGTAATCTGCACATTTTTATCTGATTTTTGCTTCTGAAAATGCATGGAAAGCCTGACTGCCTGAGAGAAGAGAAAAGAAAAGAAAATATATTTGCACAGGTAGCTCGCAAGCAATCACAATGTGCGAAACTCAATTCAGCAGGCAGGATATGAACGACCAATTTTGAAAAGAGTTGAGAACAAAAAAAAAAAAAATTAACTTTGAGAAAGGCCCAAAACCTGCCTATGAATAATAGTAAACATCCCAGATTATATTTCAAATCGCAAACTTCCAGAAAAACATCCAAGAAGCAAAAAGAAAAAAACTTCTATGCATAGTCATTGTTTATTGTTAACTAGGAAAACGGGGGGAAAAGAAATAGTAAAGAGCAGTGCTAGCGTCTAGATACATACTGCCAAGTTGAAGAATCACAAGCTCAACTGAAAAACCATTACAATGTTTGCAGACTTTTGCTTGATGTATTTTTTGACGTATAATTGCACTACTGGTTATCAAATATGTTTCAAGGACATTTGAAAAAAAAAGCTGAAGGTAGCTAAGAACGACCTATACAGCTGAATACACAAAAGTGTAGGACATAATTAGAGGACACCAGATGAACGAGAAATTTGTTTCACAGTATATTTACTGATGGATAACCATGTTAACTCCGCGCACCAAACCCAACAAACCAAACCTATAGGCATACACTGAAGGCCTCTGCAAGGATATCTGTGAATCTGCGATCATGTTATCAGGGATATCATGTACAACAGGGTCGAAACGTTCTGTGTAATATAAGATGGAATACCCAAGCCAGTAAACAGTCACTTTATGTTAACAAAGGAGAAAGAAAAGTAACCGGCTACCATAATAAATTGCAGAATTTGATCTATCTTTAGTAGATGTCTGAACTATCACATGGGTGTAAAATCCCAGAAAAATGAATCTTATTCCCATGACGAATTATTGTTCATACGATGTAACAGTATAAACCACACAAAATGGACAAAATTTATCGGCTATATAACAATCATAAATGAAATGAAATAATTCTCAGACTTATTAGCCAACTATAGCCACACAACAAAATAAAAGAATAGAGACAACAAGTGTAGGTCCTAAATATTTACCGCCTATTTGACCGTAGTGACTGAAAACGAGCAGCAAGAGATTCATAATCAGGAAGCTTTGGATGAACATGAGAAGCCTGATTGAGTGAGCTCTCTCGTGATACTGACTCTCCACTTAAACTAGAAGATCTTGTATTCACACTGCTTCTCGGAGCTACATCCTCTGATGAACCAAGATTTGACTTTGAACTTTCCTCAAAGGTTGATGGTATCTGCTTAGGTGCGACTGAAGGCTGTTGACCAGATGGATTTGTCTGTACAGGCTTAGAACTTACTCTCCCTTGAAGGGTTACTGACTCAGAAGCTGTGTTAAAAGGAGCTCCGGTAACCTCTGGAAAACTACTTTGGGACTCTGATGGCACTTCCTTTGTCCTGCGAGAAAGCTTAATTCTACTGCCAGAAGTATAAATTGGATCCATCTTATTTCCACTAGCCTCTCCACCAGTCTCTGAATCTAAGTGAGTCCTTCTCGAGCTGGATTCCCTATTAGCTTTTGTATGTGATTTCTGATCATATTGATCCAGGTTGATTGCTTCAGAACTTGCATAGGTCTTTTTTGGAACGGAAGCAGTTAATTTATCAATCTCAGGGAAAGCATCCACACTTTGTTTTGGAGGCACTGAAGCACTGTCTCTATAGTGTCGGGTAACTACAGGATAATGATTTTGTTCATTGCTGACTGGATGACCTTGTCTTTCCTGAAACATTGAGCTTTTTTCCTCATAACCTTTGCTTCGTGATTTTGGGTAATATGACTCTTGAGCTGGAAAGTCTACAGCTTCTGTAATCTCAGATTTAGAGGAAACATCTTCAGCAGTTTCCAAGTGAGAATCAATGGAAGCTCCTGAAGTTCTTGACTCAGATGCATAAGCTTTCGGATGTGATTTCAATTTGTGCGATTCTTGATCTGGTACTTCAGAGCTTGCTGATTGCATGTTGTCCACGTTTGGAATGATAGGCTTTTCATGGATGGAAGTAGAGCCAGAGGTTTGCTTCAATGACAGCGAAACATCGGCAGCAGAGCTTCTTACATAAGGTGGGCGAGGGAAACCTTTGTGTTTAAGTCCACCGGTTAATCTCCCAAAGTTTATGCCCTGTTCACTTTCATTACTAAGCTCATCTGAAACTTCAAAAATTTCACTACCCAAATGCGACGATTGCAGTGTTGTCCTCCTATTAGCCTCATTTTCCATCGGGGGCTGTCTTTTGGATAAGCGCAAAGGCTGTGACTCTTCTTCATCACTTGAGCTGTATGCTGGACCTTCAACTGAGATACTCGAATCCCTAGGAGACATATTCCTGCTTGGAGGTGGCTGATTATTAGGAAGGCTACCCGAACCAGATCTTTTGTAAAATTTATCAGCATCATCTGAATCCGTGTCAATGTTTTCATCATAGACTCCAAAATTTCTAATCTTTTCTTCAACTTCCTTCGCTTCCAAATCAAAGTGATCTGTAGTGCCAGCAGATTCATCTGAAACTGAACCTCTCATGAATGGCCTATGATCATGCAAAGAACTACCGTTCTTCATTGCTTCGTGGTGAACAGACTTGGCAACCTCATCCTCACTGTCCATGGTTTCTCCATCTGAGTCATCAAAAGCAGGTCGTGAAGGGAACATATCTTCTGTTGTTGTCTTAGAATGCTCGTCAGGCTCGGATTCTTTAAATAAATGCAACTGTGCACCGGTGTTCTTAGAAAAGGATCCAGTTCTATTCTGGTCAATACTAAAAGGACCTTCATTAGACTGGAAACTAGAAGATTCCCCTCCATTATACAGATCCAGCATATTTCCTTTCTTTTCCCCAAAATGTAAATTGTCATCTTCAGCATCAGAACCGTAGTCATCAAATACAACTGCAAAAGAATCACTTGAAGTTGATTGTTTGTGATCACTTCTGACAGAAGCTTCTCTCGTGTCCATTCTAGAAGCCTCACCTCCATAATTTTCATGCTTGTAGATATCTGAGTTCCAATTTCTCTCATCATCACCAACAAAATCGGAAGAAGCTGTTTTTGTGGAATTAACATTTATGTTCTCTTGACTAGATTCAGCATTCCCATATTTCATATTCAGCCGATTCGACTCCACAGCTTCAGACTCAGACGGAATCCTCTGGCCATGACTATAATCCTTCAGATCATCATAGTGAAGATTGATATCCTCATCATAAATAAAATCCTGACTGGAGTGCCGTGAAGATTGACTGGTTGGTTTCCTAGCAGTTGAATAGTCACTGGATGTCCTTTCGGCCTCTCTCCTTGAGCTCGTTTGTGGTCTTTCAGCCTGATGCAGATGTTGCACTTCAGTTTTCATGCCTCGAGAATTTCTAATTTCGCCACTCCCCATAGAATCAGGCTTATCAACAACATGTTCACCCAAAAATGCCCTTAGTTTTTCTGGTCTTTCATATTTCTTGCTAGACGTGGGTGATTCGTTGGATTCACTAGAATTTTGTCTAGGCATGTTTCCACGACTTGCAAGCTCTGCAGCCGCTCTAGCAGCCATGCTAGCCCTTTCTGCAGATTCAGCTGCTGCCTGAGCAGCAGAAGTAGCATCCTGGAATTCCATGTTCCAAGATGGATGATTCAAAGAAGTATTTCCTTCCCTAGAGTATGAACTGTTGACTTCTTCACCTCGAGATCTACTTTCTGTTTTACAACAAGAAAGATTACTTAATGTCAGTCCCTGATAATATATAACAAAATCAATGAATAAGAGATATTTTGTAATTGATACCTGATTGTCTTGATCCAGACTGAGAAGTGAAGGATGCTGAAGTGCCAGTTCTACCGTTCGCCTCAGAAAACGCAAGAAAAGTTGTTGTACTACGTGCAGCGTCATTTTGAGGAATTTGCACCCTTGATTCATCAGTTTGAATAGGCGCAGGTGAAGAAGTCATACTAGAGGACTCCATTGGCATCATCTTGCTGGCACTGGAAAAGGTATTTGGTCCATGCTGCGCAAGCGCAAGCGCAACAACACAGTTCAAGAGTTTATACATACATTCATAACAGTACACAAACATAACATTATTCTACTTATAAATTTGATACCAATAGGTCATCCTGAGGCTTCGTAAGTTGCTCCTCAAATGCTTCTGAATCCCATTTAATATTATGTTCTTGGGCAACTGCTGTCAACGTCTTGATCTTTGTTTCAACATCAGGTGCCCTGGCTGATAACTTTTCAACAACCTAGTTGAAACAAGAACAGAGAATTCAGGGGAAAAAAAAATAGCAATGAGATTGACATCAGTGAAAGGTGAATTTAGTCATCATAAAAAGGATGCACAGTTCTCATAAATCATAAAAACATACAATGCGGCTAACTCCAGAATCAGGCCTGACTTCAAGAGCTGAACCAATAAACTCCTTTCCATATTTTGCTAAGAAATGCTTGCGAATATCTAAAAGTTCCGGTAGGTCTGCGCATCTTGGAGATGCAAAAATCACACTAGCTACTGCTTCTTTCAGATCAATAGGGCAGCTCCTGTGGACGAGTTCATAAGTAACTACACAACTTTTAGATAATTCAAGCAAAGCAGAGAAATTTGTAAGAATGAAACCAGAAGCCACTAATATGTATCACGAAAAATAATCAGCAGAAAAAAAGATAAAGAATTTTCAAATCTATGCTTTGATCACTCCACACAAGTTTGTTTCTTCACTTAAAGAAATTGACGAACATATTAGTCACCTCAAAATATGGTCATCCTCTAGCTAAGATAATAAGCATATAAAGCACGTTGGTTTGCAATTCATCTACTCATATGTCAAAACTTCTACATTTAGACAATGCTTTCAGAATGGCTGGCCGTCCATTGATTGACAAAGCTTCCAAGTCAAGATCCAGTCCACGCTACAGTTCCACAGGTGACAGGATAAACTTGTCAACTGGGCCAGATAGGAGAGCTGTTCTTATGAACCTTTTAGTAACTTTATATCATTGAAATGATTGCTATAAATAGATAACCAAATCGACTCAGGGCATTAAAGATCCTTTTATATTAGGGGGGAAAGTTTGTGCTGCTTTCCATACTTCTTAAGATTTAACTTTAACATGAAAGCATCAACTTTGGAAGTAGCAATGCTCTGGTTTCATCGGCGCAAATTACCATTACATGTAAGGCTTTGTTGTATGTCTTAAAAATTATGATGGCACAATAGCTAGAGACGAACAATAACAATATATTTCTTCTCCTTTTATTAGTCTGACATTGCTTTACTGAGTAGAATCTTTTGTGATTCTATTAATAACTTCAATCTGTAGTAGATAATTTCATTCAGGTGGTGGCATGTGCCAACATTACCATGTTGCTGAATCTTCTCTCAGTCAGAAACATATATTTTCTAAACATTTTCTCGCATTGGGTAATAGGTAACAGATATATCAGGATCTTCATGCATATAATCTATATAGAGAACTAAGGTCAAATGCAATTGTTCAATAAACTTGCAAATACATTAGCTAACTTGCGGCAAAAAAGGAAAGAATTAATTGCATTAAAATATCCAAGTAGAATGCAACAGAAGTAAAAAGTACCAAAACTAAATTGCAACTAAACATAACAAGTTTGGATTACGTACTTTTGTGACTCGATAATTGGCAAGCGCGCCACAATAAGTTCACAATATAATTCAATGAGCTCATATGCAGACATTGTTTTCTCTTCCCGGATAACATGTTCAACCTGGAAAAGAAATAATACATAAAACACAGATTTAAAAAAGATCATGGAGATCAAGTTTTAGAAATAAGATTATTTATTCTACATGCTGAGTGAAAATGAATCTTTTCCTTGATGTTGTCAACATTAAATCTGCACCCAAAGATGAAGCGACACAACTACAGAACAAGATGTTTGCATCACAAGCAATGGTTACCAAGATCCTAAAGACTCAAAATTTTAAATTTTGTACTAATATTATATTTAGCACCAAACATGTTAGTTCTAACATGGTATGGTTTACTGCTTACTCAGGAAACAAAAAATATTGCCTTAAACCCGTAGAATGACTTAGCGTAGGACAGTCTTCTCAAATCAGTAAACAACGAAAGCTTTATCTTTCTAACTGGTTTACGATATTAACGTTTTGGAAAGTAAAGTTTGGTCAAAATGAATTATGTCCTGCATTAATGAAGACATTTCTGAAGCATTTCACTAGTATAGTTTATTAAATTCACATTATTGCGCCTCTCAGTTTATATGCCCCTAAATGAGTCAAATTTATTAGTTTAATACGTCCATTCCCAAAGAAATGAATGAATCAGCATCCACTTCTAGAATTACAGAATCTGATACTTTTAGGAGAAGCTTTAACATCAATCACTCCCACTACTAAGAAGCAAACTCAGATTAAAAATTCTTCCTTATTAAGCATCTCTCATCTAAATTTACCCACATCAACAAAAAGTAAGTTGAATCCAAAAACAAAACAATGCCTAAACAATTTATTATCACTAAAAAAACGCAATTAACATTCCCCTCAATAGACTGCCAAAATAAAGTTAACCATTCTATTCAAGGTCTATCCAATGCTCTACTAGCTTCTATTCACAAAACCTAGATTAGGAAAAAAAAATTTATAGTGCATGCAGGGGAAAAAAAGATAAATTGGGATTAAAAAAAGATAAGAAACCCTAATCCGAGCAGTTTGTTCCTGTCCGCTCTCGAGAAGTTGAGCCAATTCTCTTCTCAATTGCTTGACTTGAACCTCTCTCTTGTTCCTCAATAGCTTTATTCGAGCAACCGCAAGCTTCAACGACGTCTTGCTGCGAGAGAAAAAAAAACCAATCAAAATCCAAACAATTGCTCATCCAAAAAATAAACTGAGTAAAAATTAATCTAGGGCATCTGAGAAGTGATCGAAATTACCATTTTGCCGGCTTAAATTTCTTCGAGAGCATCGAGGACCACTTTGAATCTCAAATTCAGCTTCTAAATTCGAAGAATTAGGAATCGATGAAGAATCAAAATTGAGATTTCCCCACTTTTCTCGCCTTTTTTTTCGTTTTTCTGGGATTTTAGGTCAACGTCGCGATTGATTTGATCCAAGACGCGTCGTCGTTCTTCCTCTTGCGTGACGAGAAGAAATCTATTAAAAATGATTAAGTGCCAAAATCACTAAACTATATATAAAAATTTTGAATGTCGTAAATACCCTCAAATGTAGAAAAGACAGCTGTACTATTAGGGGTATTTTAGGTAGTGCATCCGCAATTCCGCGCCACGCGGGTCGGCATGGGGTCCACTTGGAAATGAAGCGTATAAAGATGCAGTTGGGACTCGTTAGTGGATCCCTCTTGACACCTGATCCGCCGCGGCTTCTTTGTTGTAGAAGTCGAATGGGATTCTGACACGTAGGGTCTGTTTGTTTCACCCTTTTATAGAATAGGATTAGTATTTGGGCTCTGACAGTGGTATTTTCGTAATTTTTGGATTCTTTGTGAATCCTATTCTGGAGTTTGGCTCAGCAAAAATTTTGGGATTACAATTTCCATAAAGTAGCTACAGTTGTCGTTTTTTATAGAAACCCAAATCCGAGCGTTGGGTTCGGATTTGGGCGAGATTTCTGACAGGGCGCTATGTCATCGATTCCGATTCCTCATCTTCACGATTTCGATCCCTAGATTTGGAATCGCTGTTCCGCTCCCGCCTCATCGCCCTCTTCTTCGCGCCTCTGCTCCCGCGCTTCGTCTTCTTCAACTTGGGTTCTGGCCTCTTTCTCGAAACCCTAGCTTTGTTTTCCACGAGCTTGTTGGTGGGTTTCTTGCCTTCGATTCTTGGTGATCCCTTCTGGTTGGGATCTTCTTCAACTTGGGTTCGGGCCTCTTTCTCGATCTTGTTCTGGTTGGAGTGTGGCTACGGTGTTTTCTTTGACTTCGGTGGGTTTTTTGCTTGAACGTCGGCATTTCCCTCCTCTGCAGTAAGGTATAAAAATTTTCCTCTCTTACTTTGGCTTATTTCTCCAGTGATTTGAGGAATTAATTTTAATTTTGAAGCATATGAGAAATAGAGGCTGATAGCAATTTCAATGATTTAAGCGATTAATTTCATAATATTACAGCAAAACAATTCATGCGGGTATCTGTGTAGTGGATTTTTTGTAAATGTGTAAGAATTAGGTTGTTAGGTAGATTAATTTCATGCGGGTATCTATGTAGAGATTAATTTCATAATATGTTTCAAATCAGTCTTTTAATAACTTAAATTGCTGTTTTTTTACTTTATTTCATTTTTTTGTGTGCGTGTAAATTATTAGTAATATAACCATATAGTTTGTTTGTTTTGGGTCTATCTTGCTTGTTTAGAATTGTGTGAGATGGAATGCAACATTAGTTAAAATAATTTTCATTTCAATTAGATTTCTTTGCTTTAAAAGAAATAAATATTTGTATCAATTATCTACTTAATTTTGACAATAAATAAGTAGCCATCTTAAGCTGTAACTGTATGATAATTTTAAAACGGTTGTAGATGGATATGGAAGATGAGGAAGAATTGAAGAGGATGTGTGCTAATACAGCTGTCTGCGCCGTGGTCACTTTGGTAACATGTATTTTGAGAATGCGTGCTAAGCGCAAGAGAATACCAAATTGTTCGCAGCAAGAAAGGGTCAGGAAAATATATTGTAGAGAGGCTCATTTCAGACGTGTACTGGAGGGCTATCAAGATAGCTGCCAATCTTATATTAGAATGAGACCGATGACCTTTTTTAAACTTGTTGAAGTAATGAAAGCAAACAGTTTATTAAAAGATACGAGACACGTTCAAGTTGAAGAACAGCTTGCTATGTTCCTGAGTATTATAGGGCACAAAACTAAAAATAGAATAATAAGAACTGAGTTCATAAGATCAGGGGAAACAGTTAGCAGGTATTTCAATAAAGTCTTGTCTGCAATGAATGGATTACGTGATCGGTACATGAAGCAAGCCCCAAAAGAAGTTCCCGAGGAGATTGCAAACAACTCAAATTATTTTCCGTATTTTAAGGTAAATTAAATACATACAACTTAATAATTTTCCAAATAAACTTTTTTTTATTTAACTATGTATAATTTATAATTTTTTGATGGATATTTTGATGGATATTGTTGTGTTTATTGCAAACTATTAATGTTGCAATTTGTATTTTCATTCTGAAGAACATCTATGTCGTTGTGGGATTGATGAATTGGTATATTTGCAATCTTTGTTGCAGGTAAGGTCGTGGAATGATCATTGATTTCTTTGAATTTTCCGATTATATTTTGATATCAGGTAAGCTTTCTGCAGCTCATGCTGCTGCTTCTGTTTAACTTAGCTCATGTTTTGAGCTTTCTGCAACTCATGCTGCTGCTGGTTGCTGGTGGGTGCCTGTTTTGAGTTTTCTGCAGCAGTTGCTGCTGCTGGTTGCTTTGTGCAGCATTTGCTGCTGCTGCTGGTTGGTTTGTTCATGTTTTGAGCTTTCTGCAGCTCATACTGCTGCTGGTTGCTGGTTTGTGCCTGTTTTGAGCTTCCTGCAGCAGTTGCTGCTGCTGGTTGCTTTGTGCATCATTTGCTGCTGCTGCTGGTTGGTTTGTGCCTGTTTTGAGCTTTCTGCAGCTCATGCTGCTACTGCTGGTTGGTTTGTTGCTGGTTTGTTGCTTTGTGCAGCATTTGCTGCTGGTGGTGGTGGTTGTTGTGTGCTTGTTTTGAGCTTTCTGCAGCTCATGCTGGTTGCTGTTTCTTGCTGGTTTGCTGGTTGCTGTTTCTTGCTGGTTTGTGCCTGTTTTGAGCTTTCTGCAGCTCATGCTGCTGCCTTTGTTTGTGCAGCATTTGCTGCTGCTGCTGGTTAGTTTGTGCCTGTTTTGAGTTTTGTGCAACTCACGCTGCTGCTGCTGGTTGGTTTGCCTTGCCTGTGGTTTTCCTTGCACTTGATATGTGGCAATGATGATGATCAACGTTTACTGAGAATGCAACCTAACTTACATCGTTTATTATATCCAGATGAGGCAATATTTGAGATGAGATTGCAGCCTACATTGAATTGGCAATGTCTAGGCGAGGCAATTCATCTTTATAATGCAATCTGTAATAAACATGTTTAAGTTATAGGTGGGGCAATCAATGATGACAAGTTGATCTATTACTGAGCCATACAATATCAATAAGAATTTGTACCCAGTTCAAACAACAGTTTTCATTACATCCTCAGTAGTTTTTGCAAGTACAGGTACATGACATGAAGTTTGTAATAATTAAAATAACACAAAAAAATTGCTAAGAAAATTGCAGAAATTTTCCAAATTAGTAGTTGATTTTCGACAAGTCTCAATTCTTTCTTCAGCTTCTTTGATTGCAAAATATATTTTTCTCCGTACCTATTTTCTTTGACATATTGGCTTCCTTGGTTGCTTGATGACTCTCCTCTTTCTTCAGCCCATTCGAAAAAATTACATTCTTTATTTGGGAATTTTGCACACCCCCAATAACACCTACCCTTATTTTTACCATTCTTGCACACTTTCATCGGTGTTCGGAGATGGCAGTCGCAATAAACTTCATAATCCTGCCAGCACTCTTCTGATATCATTTTCATGCCGGGACAACAAATTGAAGACAATGGGAATTTTATAAATGCTGAAATTGAGAATGTTTGGATTAATTGTGAGGCCTCAAGATGAATTTATAGCCACCATGTTCCACTTCTAGCCGTTGCTACAGTGTTCTGACTAAGATTTTTGAAATCTGTATTTTTTTGAGGCTGAAAAGAGCCGTTGCTACAGTAATTCCAGCACAAATTATGAAATTATGGCCTCTTCTAGCCGTTGCTACAGGAATTTTTAAATTGATAAAGAGGCTGCTGTTGCTACAGTGTTTATTCCCAAAAAAGAGCCTTTTTGAAGCAAACATTGTATTAGGAATTGGACCAATTCTATAAATGTTAGATTCCTAATCCTTTGGGTGAAACAAACATAGAATGCCAAAAAAATAGGATTCCATAAAACTTCAACTTGTCTATAAAAATTTTATGGATTAGGTTGGAATCCATAAATAAAATAGGATTCCTAATCCTATTCCTATACTCTATTGAACCAAACAGGCCCGTAGTCTAATTAAGGTTGTACAGCTAAACTGCGGAGCGCTGAATTTAATAGTCAATGTCTTGAAGGTTGATCAATTAAAATAATACATGTAATTAATCATGCAAGCGACGAGGACGGTGAGGATATTCCAATAGATAAACTTTCAGATCCGACCGTCCGTTTGTCTTGATGGACGGCTCCCTCTGAGCGTCTGGTTCAACTTTTTGTGATAGCGTGAGATTGAAGTAGAAGACATTTTTAAGAAAAGTCCAACGATATGCAGACGCGATTATAGACCGCGCACATGTATTTAAAGACGTCAAAAGTCTTTTAAACAGGGTGCTTTGTGAGCAAGCAAGACACAAAGTTACACCTGTAGGCAAATGAAATTGTCTTTATCCTTAACAAGAGGAGCTCAGAGGTTCGCCTGCGAGGCTAAATTTTGTCTGAAGTTCGTCTGCAAAGATTTAAGTTCGCCCGCGAAGAACGAAGAATTTCGTTTGAACACTGAACTTCGCCTAAACATTCAAATCCGCATGAACAAAGTCAAGTTTGCCTAAATACTTGACTTTACAGGCAAAGCCAAGTTCGCCTGATAACGTGGCTCCACCTGAATCAACCATGTAGATTCAAGTTCGCTTGAATACTTGACTCTACAAGCAAAGCCAAGTTTGCCTGGCAAAGCCAAGTTTGTCTGATAACACGGCTTCGCCTGAATCAACCACGCAAATCCAAGTTCACCTGAATACTTGACTCTGCAGGCAAAGCCAAGCTCGCATGATAACACGGCTTCGACTGAATCAACCACGCAGATCCAAGTTCGCCTGAATACTTGACTCTGCGGGCAAAGCCGCGTTCGCCTGATAACACAGCTTCGCCTAAATCAACCACACAGATCCAAATTTACCTGAATACTTGACTCTGCAGGCAAAGCCAAGTTTGCCTGATAACACAGCTTCGCCTGAATCAAAAATACAGATTCAAGTTCGCCTGAACTAATCAAGCTTCACCAGGATAGCTCGTGCGAAGTTAAATTCGCCTAAACACTTAACTTCGCCTACGAGGTTCGCCTGCATGCTCCAATTCGCCTGCAAGCTCGTCAAGCTTGCCTGAACATGCAAGTCCGCCTGCATTGTTGGACCAATACAGCCACTAAGGCTTAAAATGTGGAAGTAATTGTGCCCACTTCTCACGTTCATAAGAGACGGTTACACATCATTCTCCTCTATAAATAGCCACTAATGACTACCAAAAGAAGGGGGGCGGAGGAGAAAAGAAGGAACCTAGCATTGGATGAAGAGCATTGAGAGAACGAAAAAATTAAGAGCATCTTGCACTCGGCCTTCAATCTCTAGCTCGGGTACTCGAACTCCAAAAAAACAAAACTTCTACCATTTGAGGAAGTTTGTTGACAACATTGTTCGAATCGTCAACGGAAAGCAAACTCGACTCAAGCACCGAGTGAGACATCATTTCGCCCCCAAGAACCCACGTTAAACAAAAAGAGAGATCAGATCAATTCTCTCTTCTTCTGTGTAAAAGAAACTTCTAGTTTGTAATACACAATTCAATCAATACAAATTCAAGATCATCTTTTACGACCTACAGCACTATTGGAGAAGAAAATTTTAAGAAAATGAAATGGTATGTGACATCAAGCTGAAGTTACGTCCATAGGGATTCACTCTTTGCTATTGGCATGTGGATGTTTCCGAATAAAAATCTCATTAGAATCATTCTTGTAGAATTGAGGTGGTTAATTTACACTATACATAAAAGTGTGAATGATATAAATCCCCCAAATGCGAATGATATAGATAGCTCAATTTTATGAAACTATTCTGACAGAACAGGCACTCGATGTTCCCTCCCCACAAGGTTTATTTAAGATGAATCCAAGTTTTCGAAATTTTAGGTGACAACAATGCCTAATACTTCTCTCCGTTAAAAGCCAAGATATGTTGATTTTAGAAAGGATTAAATCTTAAATTCTCATAATAGCGTTAAATTAGTAGTACAATTAATATTTTCATCTTCCCTAAAAAGAGTTATCGTTTCTTCATCACCAGTGTTAATAGTTGTTTGCAAATAAATTATTTAGAGGAAAGTTTCAAAACAACCCAAAAAGTTTTTTATTTTTCAAAATCGACTCACTTTTTTTTTATTTATCAAAATCGACCCACTTTTTACCATGTGGGCTTAATGAAGTTCCTAAACAGTCAGGGTTGCCAACCCCGACTGTTTAGGACATAAAAATTTCGGGTTTAAGGATTCTAATTAGGGTTTAATACCCTTCTAAACAGTCAGGGTTACCAACCCCGACTGTTTAGGAACTTCATTAAGCCCACGTAGTAAAAAATGGGTCAATTTTGATAAAAAAAAGTAGATCGATTTTGAAAAATAAAATTTTTTTTGGAGCTGTTTTTAAAATTTGTTCAAATTATTTACGTAGTTAAACAAAATGTACTTAGTTTGAGCGATTAAGGATCTGTTTGTTTGGGGTTGTTTTGGGTAGAGTTCTACTGTAGCAGGCGGGTACTCGGGTATTACATCAACTTCTTTGTTTATTTGGGCAAGTGAAGGGCTGATGTGGCCACTAAAAAATCTATGTGGCAAGCTCTAGACAATTCCCTCCACTTTGATCTGATTTGGCACTTAGTGTAGCTGTTAGGTTGGTGTGGATGATTAAACTCATAGCAACATTGAATTTTAAGAGTTCTACACTAAAACAACCAAACAGACCTTAAGAGAAAAGAAGTAGACAGAAAAAAAAATTCCCCTTACGCAATGAAAGAAGATTGAAAATTAAGACATACGTCGAATTTTACAGTCATCGGAGGCGTGCGATGATAGCACTCGACTTTTCACTTCCAGATATATAGGCGGCGTCATTGTAGCCATGTGCAAAGGAAAAAATAATAATAAAACCAAACTGCCACAAATAAGCTAGAGTAAGATTGGCCGGGAAAAAAAAAGAAAAGAAAAAGATAGAATCCAGAAGCAAGAAACGTCATAATTGACTTACACAACTAAAGGCATTGAGATATAGATGTCTTTAGAGATACAAGCATTCTATAAAAAAAAAAAAAAAGAATCAAAACAAACCCCACAGAACTTTGCACCCGCTGGGTGGAGACCTTTTTTTTTTGTGGGATGGGTTGTTTTTTTCTTGCTTAGTAGGGAAGGAGGGGGGGGGGGTCCATAGCATTTGTAACTATATTTCATGTATTGTATCACAAAAAAATTGACACGATTCCTTTTGTCATTATTACAAGAGTGGTGTTAGTGGCACACCACCCACCACAACCCTAACCACTCCCCCCTCTTAATGCTACAGTAAACCGGGCCCCACATGAGATTTTAAAAAATTTAAAATCTCATGTGGGACCCGGTTTACTGTAGCAATAAGAGGGGGGTGTGGTTGAGGTTGTGGAGGGTGGTGTGCTTCTAACATTATTTTTATTACAACACCCGACAGAAAAAGATATATCCTTCAATCTGTACCAATCTTCTATAAAAATTATCATAGGAGGTTATTCCTAAGGGAAGAAATCAACTTTGGTGAAAAAAGAAAGAGAAAGGCCAGGATTGACCCAAAAAATAATTTGATTGCGTACTGCATGAAATCATTGTCAGAGTCATCAGTCTCTCTTCTGGCTCTCGAGGTAGCGGAAGCGGAAGGAAGAGCTTCGAGGACAGCATCAGCAAGATCCGTGATGAAGGAAGATGTGCAGCCTAGAGCTGGTACTCTCCCCCAGTTTTTAATGCCAGATTCTAAGGCCAGTTCCTTGTACTCCATGTCGATTTCTTCTAGAGTTTCAATGTGCTCGCTTACAAAGCTGAAATGGACACGATGATACGTATAAGAACACAAAATTCTGCTAGAATGAATAGTGCAAAGGACATTGTTATTTACATATCAGCAGTAGGGTACACATTTTATAGTATCGATGGGAAATGGGGAAAAAAAAGCAGTAGGGTACACTTTATTGGATATTGCTGTATGTAGATGAACATTAATTGTGCATGCTACTTTTGGAACTTGTTGCAGCTATCAATTACCATTTTCTAACTCACAATTCCTACGGGTGTAGGACTCAGCTTAATGTAGGCACTCAAAAAGATTTAAAAAAAAAAGAAACGTTATATAGCAGATACTCTTATGGTGGAATTAAACATGATAATTTGCAACCAAATAAAACTTTGCTAATAAGTTATCATCATGAAGTTACACTATGACCCACTTTGATTGATGGTGATATCAATGATGTTCAATTAGTGATATCATAAAGCTTAGACATAATCCAAATCAAGAAAGCTGCCTTAGGAGTTAGGACCAAGGCCGCAACTAAATTTCGTCAACTAGAGGGAAAACGTCTTAAGATCTTTTGAGTTAAAATCGAACCTATTATTGAAAGAAGAGATGCTTTTTCTTTTAGTCGAAGGTTCAGCTCAAGAATGAAAAGTAAGATATTGGTTCAAGTTAAGAAATGAACCTTATGGGGACAGCCAAAAGACTCTTTACACCTTTTTTGCCAAGCTCCACCAAGACCTCATCAGTATAAGGCTTCAACCACTGAACAGGCCCAACTCGGCTCTGCCAAAAGTTCACATAGTTGGATGATTCAAATTTCAAGCAATCACACCATGAAACTCTGAAACATGTAAATTGAAACAGAATGTACTACCTGGTACGCAAGTGTGTGTTGGTTGGTGACTCCTCTTGATTTTAACTCATTCATGATCAAACGGATACAATGCTCCATCTGGTCTCTGTAGGGGTCCCCTGCATCTTCAACATAACTGACTGGAACTCCATGTGCACTGAAGAATATCATAACCTAATATTTTAGGAAGAGATGAATTAATGCCCAGCGAAAAAACAGGTTATATTAGCCAGAATTAGCCTTTATACTAAATATGTCCAATCAGAAACCTAAATTTTAGAAAGAACACAGATAACCAAGAAAAATACAAGTAATTTTCACCAAAAAGGGGAGGAAGATGGGAGGAAAAACATCTTTGCTATCTCATTGCAGTTTCTCAGACTCATGATCAAATCTATGTTTGTACTATAATAAATAAGCACAAAATGACTAAACCGAATCTTGTGTTTGCTAGCAAAATCAAAGCTCATTCTCATGCCACTACCAATCTGCAATTCTAATGCTCGCTAACCAATTTGCCATTTTTGTACACCAACTAGATTACACATAGCAAAAGAAACCACCACCTAGTTTAATAAAACTAACACTCTAGTGTCTTCCTGCAAGTGTATGGCATCCTACCATCTATGGCTTTCTTCAAGGTAAATGTTGTTGTCCATCATGATAATTAACAGGCGCCATCAACCTTCTCTCTTTTCTCACACCAACCAGATCTCACCTTTCTACTTCTTAAACCACACCTCCACATATGATTACTAGACCAGTAGACGTAAAATGAAAACAGGATTATGCCATGCAAGAAATAAAATCAACAAATAACTAAGCATGCTTATTCCATACTAATGCTTCCAGTCTCAATATGCTTGAAAAGCTTGTTGATTTGATAAGAGCTTGTTCATGTCCACTTGATAACTAGATATCTAAGCATGAAAATAAATCCGTGTTTGATAAATAAGTGAATGAACATGAATAAAGACCGTTTATACTCATCCTGGGATTGAGCTCAGTTAGTGCTCGACTCTTGCTCAAGTCATTTAAAGCTCGTTTAGGCTTGACTTGATATCAATGTTAGGGATAATAAAAAACTCAAAGCTTCAATTTAGGGATAATAAAAAACTCAAAGAGTCCAGAAATGGACTGTAGAAACATGAGAAAATGTCTAAAAGCATTCTTTGCTCAGTATCTTGCTTATACATGGGATGAAATGTGACATAAGCTTGATGATTGTGTCATCTCGGCTGGGGTCATCAAAAGCTCTTTCAAGCTAGTTCACTAACTTAAAATAGACAATGAATTAAATTTCGAAGCTCGCTTAAATAAAGTGCAAAAGTGAACCTAAACCTCTCACACTTGGCTCAATTTACAAGCCTAACCCCAAGAGCATCAGATTCATGTAGGATTTACAACAACTTGCAAGAGCGTATGTAATGTATGTGCATATGCTGGGTAAAGGCACATTCAAGTACCATGCTTGCCCTGTCTCATTATTTCCAAACATGGGGCTTGTAATGAGTAGTTCTGGAGAACCAAAGCATGCTCAAATAATTCTTAAGGTCGGGTCAAAATGAATTAACCAGAATGATACATGATAAATGGTACCAGTATAACTAGCCATGAAAATTACCTCTTCAGGGTTTGAAAAGCTTAATAGTTCTTTCTCTATCAAATCAGCCATGGACTTGATGTAGCCTTCACGCTGATACCATGATTCTATAATAGAGATTGGTAATCCTTCAAAATAAGCATCTTCCCTGTTTTCAGTGGCTCATGTTCAGTGTTTGTTGAACAACAAATAAAGAAAATATTGGAGTTAATAAAGAAAAAGAAACAACAAAAGGTGCTTGGTACAGTGAAGATGAAGGATGACAAAATTGAAAAGGTCGATCGTGGAAGAGGTCCTAAATGTGCAGCTATTCATAAAAAGTAGTGATAATAATTAAAAGAAAAAAAGAAAAGAAAAACTAAATTTTTACCTGAAGATGTTTTGTAGAACACGGATGCTTGAGCCACTTGTTGATATAGAGTATTGTGGATAAAGTGGTAGAATGACAAGCTTCGTAATCTTATCCCTCTTAATCTATCACATAAACAGAGGGATGTCAAAATCAATATATCACATGACGATGAAAATATATAATTGCAATGTACGCAAGGATGCCAAGTTTCAATAACAATTTTGCATACATACAACATCTCAGTCCTTTAAATTTAGCTAGCAGATAAACACTAAAGTATAACATTTTCTTAATTGTTGTCAACTTATTCAACCGTACACTTGATAGGCGATGATAGAAGATATGTCTAGATGGTGAATCTCAGTCACTTTTTTGCGTCAAATACATAAGTCTATTCAACTTCTTAAAATTGCTATATGAATCATAATAATACATTCAAGAGTAAGAATTACTTCGAAACAAAACATAAAATATAACATAAATATGACCACTGGTAAGTTTAATTTGCCTTGCAGGCTGCCTCTGGCTAGTGGCTAACCTGTTGAATGGCTTCCTCAGTAAACGGGTACCAGTAACGCATTGCGACATATACATTTGTGTGCAGCTTTTTCTTTTCCAGAGCATGTTTCAGTGCATCTGCCTGGAAAAATATCTTAATATAATCAGTGATGTTCTGCAGAGTAAATTTCCTAATAAGATCCCAAACAAATACTTCACTTAATGACTATCAGATAATTTAGAAATATCACAAGATTAGTAATAGACAACAAAGGATGCATATGCACCCCAAAAAACCCAGAACTATCTTGGGATTCCGAAGTTGAAGGCAAGCTGTCAGGGAAAATAAGCACCATGCATTTCAAACGGAAAACGAGACAGAAAAGTAAACAAACCTGCTCATTCGTTATTCTTCGCAAAGGTGACCCACCACCAATGGAAGCATATCCTTCTTTACTTTTTGGGGCTCTGACAACTGAAATTAGTTGGGCTAATGGTCGCTGCAGAAAGCGGAACCACCTTGGAAGTCGTATTATGTCCTGTCATAAGAAGCAAGTGATCACTCAGCGTAGGCAGCCAAGTAATGGAGACATACGGAATTCAAAGTGCAAGCAATAAGTAGATAAAAGAACGAAAAGAGGTGAAGATCACGATTGCTACAATCTAGATTAGGTGTCAATCATGTTGTACGTGAATGTTAAAGAGTTTGACATCTGATATTTACATGAAGTAATCGCAAAAGATGAGTTTGAAGTAAAAAAGTTATGGAAAAGATAACAGTTTTCCCTCCCATCTAAAGCATCAGATTTCTCTCTCAATTGGTCAGGTTCATGTCATTAGAACTGATCAAGCTCTCTGTAACCCCCAGAACTTGAAGCAATGTATGACAAATGCAGGGTTAGTTATATTAATTCAATTCTTTGATGTTCCTGCAGGCGGCTAATATGCTTCTTTGTCAGATATGTTTACACTGTCAAACTTTTGCCGATCTGATTTTTGTGGTCAGATGAGCGGGATCCAGGCAGTTAATGCCACATGATTGAGTCTAAAACCTTCAAGATAGCTTATGACTATCATGAGAACTCAAGACTAGAATAGATCAAGTCGCTCGGGAGGCATTCAAAATCCTAGTACAGACTTAGTAAAGCAATCTAGATTATGCTGGTTCCAGTAAGGTCAAAAATGTTTGTTGGGTTGATTCAGTTTGGTTCCGGTATACTTTACCTGGTATTTCTATCTTTAGGAAGAAAATTGAATTCCTATCAGGTTACAAGTCGAAGTAGACTTGAAGTATCAGGTTAGAAGTCAAATTCAGCTCCTATCAGGTTGAAAGTCAAATTAGATTCTGAAATATAGCATGCTTTCTATTAGAACAGAATCCAATTTCATGACTTCAAAATAAAACTTTCCCTTGTCACTCCACTTCTCAATTCACCTAAAACCAACTTCTTACCCAAGCCGCACTAAAAATGAAGAGAATAAAAGGAAAGAAGAGCCAACAGAACATCAACTGTCATCTATACAAGCATATGGTATCACAAACCAAAGCTTCCCTGCAAGAAACAGAAAATGACCCTTTTCTTACTATATAGATGCACAATTTTAACAGATGAAATAAAAATCAGATCGGCAAATTAGTAATTAAAAAAAAGCCATAAAGCAAGAAACAAAAGTGATTTATTAGAAAATTAGAATCGGATCACATACTGGGTCTGCAAATAAATTAAACAGAAACGGCTGCACATCCTGAAGGGTCTCTGGGCCTCCAAGGTTCAGCAACAGCACACCAATCTTCTCACGTGCAGTAGTCGAAGAAGCTCCAGCCATGTTCTCATCAAAAGAGCACGCTTCAGAGGAGTAAGATGATTTCCCCAAATATTTTCTTTCTTTAGATGGAATATATAGAGACGATGCATTATAAGAGAGTGAGTGGTGGTGCTCTTTATCTGAACTGTGAAATGCAGATACAATATCACATTTTGAAACCTGCCTCTTATGAAATAACCTGGAAAAAGAAATAGAAATGACAATTTGTGTTCATTGAATAAGTTGAAATGGAAGAATAAGTGAAAAGAACGATAAACATTTTTTCGCCTGATAATGACCTCTGCTTAATTTGCTTGTGACAAAACCCCAAGAGCTTGGTTTGGGGAATTCCAGTGCCTAAGGCTTCCATATCTCAAATAGATTTGCTCCAAACTAAGACCAGAAGAGAGAACACCTGAGTGCGAGGGGGGAAAAACTACCAAAATAATGCTGCTCACAAGCTAAAAACATAAAATTTGATCAATATTAAAGTGTAGAAAATGGAGGAAATTTTTCTGAAATAAGTAGGGCGACAAATTGCGCTTGCAAAACCCCCAAAGCCATCAAAATTCTCCACTGCCTTAATTCCCTCAAACCCTAATCGTCGCCTCAACGCCTCAAGACGTCTAATTACCGCCAAATCTCAGCAGGATCACACCGATCTTATCGAAGATACTGAAAGCGTACGTTGGATTCATCAATTTGATCAGGTGCAAAGTGTTTGTGGAGGTTAGGGGTTTTTTCGAAACGGGTACAAGTCTACAAGATCTTGAAGAATCTTAAATGTTTACCAGCTGCTTAATACACCAATTAGGGTGAGTTTTTTGGGAAAATAAGCGTACATTGCTATGATCAAATGAACAAACTTTAACAAAGAAAATCATACGTAAAAGAAACACAATCTAAAATAGCCTCTTGTACTTTAACCGCATCATATCAAAATAAGCGAAAAAGTAGAGAAAAATGCGAAGAGTGAAGATTTACCTGGTTGTGATCAACGGAATTCCTACAATCAGTGAAAGAATCTAGAGAGGACCCGAGTTCGTCCAAAATTAGGGTTTAGATTTAGGAAATGGTCGTCAAGAGAGATCAAGAAAGAGTTTATAGAGTTGGCGGCCAAACGAAGGAATAAAAGTCACACCTAACCTCCACCGTATTAATTGGGGAATTTTGGGAGCCTTTCGAATAAGTTGTACCGCAGGAACGCCGTATCTTCGAGCGATTTGGGTTTTCCCCAACGCAACCCAACCCAATCGGCATCAGTATAAGAGTTGACCAAGCTGATAGTGGATCTTGAGTGCAGCTCAACGCTGTCCCGCCGGAGCAGAGGAACTTCGAACGTTCGTCGACCCTACTAATTCCTGCGCATGGCCGCGTATCGTTGGACGACGAGTGCACATTAGGGGTGGAATCGAATCGAATTTGAACGACTAGTGCAAGGTTCAAATTCGAGTTCGTATCCGTATTCGATTCGAATAGTAATACAAGTTCGAATTCGTTTCGCTTATTTATATTGATGTTCGAAAAAAATTCGCAAATATTCGACTAGCATTATTATGCAACTTTTATTTCGAATTATTCGTCAAATATTATATAGGTATTCGCTAATAATTCGAAAATCATAAAAAAAAATATAATCAGTAAACAAAAGGCTTTTTTAACTGATCATAACAAAAGGGGTTTTTTAAATAATTCGAAAATCATAACAAAAGGATTTCGAGAATCACCGCACGAAATCTCCAAGATCTGCAGAGATCGAGGGAAATGGGCGTCGTCGCGGGGAGGGAGGATGGCGTTGTCA